TGAAATATAAGAAAAATATAAGACTTACCCCCCCATCGAAATAGCCATTGTCTTCGACCCCTAATAATACGCCCCACCAAGGCCGTTCAAGCAACAAATAGATATCATCGGTGAGCTTGCATATGTCAGTGAAACACCCCTTGCTCCGCTCATGTAGATAAAAATCAACTGCGGTCTTAGCCCAAAGGGTGTTATCCAAAATTGTGTCCGGTAGTTGTTCCCTCTCCTCTTCAGATACCGGTATGGTACTGGCCGGTAACTCATACGAGAGCCAACTTGAATCCATCATGTCCGGCACGTCAGAGGGTTTCTCAAGAAGCCTACATATGACGCCATGTGAATCGGGCTCTTGAATGGTGGGAGGGACCTCTTCAATGATGACAGTGGCCTCTTGAACGGTGGGAGGGGACTCTCGAGGAATGATAGGGGGCCTCTTCAACGATAGGAGTGGACTCTTGAGGGATGACAGGCGAGTCGGGCTTCTTCTTGCGGTGTCTTCGCACTATTGGGGTGTACGGAGACTTAATAGCACGTGCACGCTGTCTGATGCGTGAACTCCGTCGTGCAAGCATAACCCGACGTAAAGCATCCACTCTATCGGGCCGCTAAATAATTAAATACAAAAATCAGTAAATAAACAGACATGATATTTAAACAGTGAAAACAAAGACAAATATGTTTCAAACTTGCATTGTATTCACCCAAGTCATTATTCTATCATAGTTCACAAAATGCATCAGATAACAAAGAAAAATATGTTTCAAACTAATACCCTGAAGTTAGTATTTGTCTTTGTTTTGTCTTTTGGTTGAAAGTAAATTTATCCATTCAAGTTTCAATTTGCAGAAGAAGAAATAGTTTACTTTCGCAACACGAAACTTAAAATCGCAACGCGAAACCAAAATCGCAACGCGAAATGAAAATCGCAACGACAGAATCGCAATGCGAAATGAAAATCGCAACGAAAGAATCGCAACGCGAAATGAAAATCGCAATGCGATTTTGGTTTCGCGTTGCGATCTTGTCGTTGCGATTTTGGTTTCGCGTTGCGATTCTGTCGTTGCGATTTTCATTTCGCGTTGCGATTTTGGTTTCGCGTTGCGATTTTAAGTTTCGTGTTGCGAAAGTAAACTATTTCTTCTTCTGCAAATTGAAACTTGAATGGATAAATTTACTTTCAACCAAAAGACAAAACAAAGACAAATACTATTTCACAGTGTTAAAGAATACACAGTTTAGCAGAATTGGCAACAACCGAACAAATTTACTTTCAACCAAAAGACAAAACAAAGACAAATACTATTTCACAGTGTTATAGAATACACAGTTTAGCAGAATTGGCAGCAACCGAACAAATTTACTTTCAACCAAAAGACAAAACAAAGACAAATACTATTTCACAGTGTTAAAGAATACACAGTTTAGCAGAATTGGCAGCAACCGAACAAATTTACTTTCAACCAAAAGACAAAACAAAGACAAATACTATTTCACAGTGTTAAAGAATACACAGTTTAGCAGAATTGGCAGCAACCGAACAAATTTACTTTCAACCAAAAGACAAAACAAAGACAAATACTATTTCACAGTGTTAAAGAATACACAGTTTAGCAGAATTGGCAGCAACCGAACAAATTTACTTTCAACCAAAAGACAAAACAAAGACAAATACTATTTCACAGTGTTAAAGAATACACAGTTTAGCAGAATTGGCAGCAACCGAATAAATTTACTAAGCAATCTAAGTGAAATGGCTAATCTAAGTGAAATTACGAGTAAATTTATCATTAAGTTAAATATGGAAAATCTTAAACTTACCTCGTTGCGTAGAGTATGAACCTCATTCTGCAACGATACTATCATCTCACGTAGAGCGGCAACCTCACCACGTAAAGTTGACACCTCCACACGCCATGCACCATCGTTATCGCGTAGAGTACCGATCTCCTCACGCAAGGCATTGACCTCATCACGTAACTCCCTTGACTCATCCCGTTGAGGTGGAGGTGGAGAACAGGGAGATAGGAGTCGTGGCATCTTTGCCGGTCGCCTATCATGAGGTGATGGTGGAGAAGAGGCTCGATGATGTGACGGGATAGGTGATGGCTCTCGTTCTAGAGGTGTATAGTCGGGTCGATCGGGTGATGGCTCTAGGTGAGGTGATGGCTCTCGAATTGGAGGAAGTGGATGCTGCTCATCATCCGTGCCATCAAAAAAATTCTGACTAGCTTGCCACCAATCAGTGGCAAGCTCTTCCTCCGTGGGTGTCAGTCTTTGTAATGGAATGTTAGCCTCCTAAAATATAAAAACTCAAACAAAGTTAAACGTCTACTATTAATAACTTGTTTATATTATATGAAAGTATTTGTGTTAACTTACATTATTTATTGTGGCATATGGTATTAAGTCTTCCCAATCCAACAGAGTTTTCCTCTTCCAGGAAATAGCCCTGGGAATATCATTTGACGTTTTTATTGCATATGTACGCATGCTGGGGAAAGCCTCGAATATCCAAATCTACAAACAATATAATAACAAAATTAGTAATTGTTAAATAATTAATTATAATTTTAGAAACATTATATAGAAATTCTTACCTTAAAGGCCCAAACAAAGCCTGACAAAGTGTATTTGGACCCATCGCCCCGCAAACTTTTGCGGTCATCAAAGGCAGACGACAACTTAGTCCAGGTAGCTTTCCATATATACGAACCCCACGGAAACAGATTCCATGCATTCAGGTCCTCTACCAATATTATTAGCTCCCGATGAATAGGTTGTCTGGCCTCTCTGCCTAAAAAGCCGGCATACACAAGTAGTAGAAGGCATACTCGGACAACATCGACGTCATCCATCCGAGTGAAACCAGCTTTCTTATTAAACAATTTCTTCAGGTCGTCGACATGTAGGTTCGGCTTCTCCATTGACTCATCCGGAAAAACCCGGGATAACCATGATGGGCGGGCGATATGACGAGTGTACCGGCCTACATCATCGTGTCCGAATCGTAGACCAGTGATTAAGCAGAACTCCTTCGGCCCAAAACAAGTATACGCTGGTGGAAAATGAAACCATATCTCTTCCTCACCACGTTGTATACTGTCGGGTAGATTTGATGTCATGGTCTGAAGCCACAAATGGGTCAAATTAGCATCTCCACCCGGATGCTGTACTCTCAGCCATGGCCCGAAGCAGGTTTCCTCAAACAATTGTCTTTGAGCAGGTGAAAGCTTCTTTGCAATTTGTAGTGGCCAGGCTGACTTTATTTCTCAAGGTCAATTGAGCCGAAAAAAATTTCAACAAAAACAATAAACATACCAAGTTAGATATACCAAAAACTACACTGTGAAGATATACCAAAAACAATAAACATAAAAAGTAGTAGTTTATTCTTGAAACTAAAATTTGCAACACTGTTTTGTCTTTTGGTTGAAATGAAAATCGCAACGAGAGAATCGCAACGCGATATGACAATCGCAACGAGAGAATCGCAACGCGAAATGAAAATCGCAACGAGAGAATCGCAACGCGAAATGAAAATCGCAATGCGATTTTGGTTTCGCGTTGCGATTCTCTCGTTGCGATTTTCATTTCGCGTTGCGATTCTCTCGTTGCGCTTTTCATTTCTCTCGTTGCGACAGTCATTCTCTCGTTGCGATTTTCATTTATCTCGTTGCGACTCTTCTGCAAATTGAAACTTGAATGGATTGCATTACTTCAACCAAAAGACAGAACAAAGACAAAGACAAATACTAACTTGAAAATCAGAACGAGAGAATAGCAACGCGAAATGAAAATCGCAACGACAGAATCGTAACGCGAAATGAAATCTAAGTGAAATGGTTAATCTATTATTGAAATGACCAGTAAACTTATCATCAGTTTCAATATGAAAAACCTACAATAATGCAAACATTTCAAAATAAAAATAATTAAAAAAACTAACCCTCGGAGGTTGATTTTCCATTTCTGAATATTGTGAGGGATTTCTGACCGTGAATGGTTGTGAGGGATTTCGCCGGAGATGGGGACGGAAATCTTCGGAGATGGGGACGGATTTCTTCGCCGTAGAGAGTGAGAGATGGAGATGGGACTGAGTTGTGATTTTAGGTTTTAGGTTATGAGTTGCGATTACGGGATTTTGTCTTAATATTCTTTTTGTAATTTGAAAATAAAATACGCGTAGCGATTATAATGGCGCTTTAAATATCGCGTTGCGATTTACGGATACGCGTTGCGATTTTATGTATTATCGTTGCGATTTACGGATACGCGTTGCGATATACGGATACGCATTGCGATTTACCCATACGCGTTGCGATTTACGGATACACGTTGCGATTTACGGATACGCGTTGCGATTTATGTGTTCGCGTTGCGATTTTCATATTCGCGTTGCGATTTTGGAAAATCGCAATGCGAATTTGTACTATCGCATTGCGATTTTCAAGAATCGCGTTGCGATTTTGGAAACTGATTTGCGATTCTGGGGATCGCGTTGCGATTTTTATTTCCCGTTGCGATTTTGTTGGTCATTTTGGCAAATCCAAAAAAAGTTGGTTAAAATCGTATATTATAACTTTTTTTTGGTCACTGAGGCGATTTTCTCTTATTTAAAAGGTAAATGCGTATGATGTATGTTAAAAATGCATATTTACGGGCTAAAAATAAGCTAATGCTATTTTTAATATTGTTATTTTTTAAGATATATGGGTTGAAAAATCCATGTCCTATCTAGATATATATATATATATGCCGTTATTTTTGACTGAATCTTTAATGGGATTTTTTATTTTGTTGAGAGTAATAATATGCGCTAACAATAAAAATCGTGTCTGAAGTCGACAAGAGATTTCAAGTCCAAGGGTGGCTTGATTGTATGTGAGAATATAATAATAGACTGCCTGGTTCAATCTGCCGTGGTAGTTGTTTACTATATAGTTTTAGTGAATGGCAGGACAATAAATAAATAAATAAAAATCACATTTCATCACACACAATTGCCTCCAAATACCAAAGGATTCTTGGACATGGTGTCAACGCAAACACTGATTTCTGTTGGTACATTCTACAGTTTGTTTCACATTATTCAGAGACCAAGGCCTAATAAGTTTACAAGTCGGTGTGTAATGTGTGTGCATCGGGACTTTTGCTCTTCAAGTTTGATGAATGCGGGTGTGCTTCACTAAAATATCTTGACAATATGAGCCTCGCTACGTTCTCGGCTGCAACCGCACTCGTCTCCATGGTACTAGCCGCATTCTCGAACGTGTTTACATAATACAAATGTTGACCGTCCAAAATAAACGGTGCAAATACTTCTGGAGCTTCATAATGCGGATAGGCTCCCCAGTTTATTCGAACCGTCTCCAGCCTTGCACTAATAATACCAGCAGCAAATGACAGTCATCAGCAGTTAATAATGTAAGGGTCTGTAATCGATCTTTAAAGTTCAAGAACCAAGTTAATGTCATTAAGCAAGGTACAGTATGGAAAATGAATCCTTAAACGTTGAATTACCTAAAAATGGTATCCAGTAATGCATCTGTCATTGGCTCTCGAGAAAATACTTTGTAAGTTGTATCATTTTCATCGTGTTGCTTGAGAATTGAAATGCTTGAGAACGGAATGTCGGGATCCTCTAATGTGCCAACCAGTTCTGGAATCACACCGACAGTGCGCAGGCCAAAATAGGCCTTGCCAAGAGGAACAAAAGCAGCAGGTTAGAATAATTAGAAATCAAACAATAGTAAAGAAGTTCACTGGAAAAGCCATTAGCAACTACCAGGGTACTTACTGGATTCAAGATGCCTCTCACAAAGGTTGCATGTGTATGCTGCAATTTCCTAGCAGGAATCGAAACTGAAGGTGTCAATTGGATACTTACTTCGTCAAGGGGTGTAGCAACCACTGCGACATCACACGAATAACTATTTCCTTTAGTGGAGTTAAGTTCATAATATTCTCCAAGATAAGAAATGGATTCAATTTCTTCATTAAGGTGTAACGAAACGTTGGAGCTCTTAATTAGTCCGGCAGCCATCTGATAGTTCCCTCCTTCAATGGCCCATAATCCTCCCCCGGATCCCGCCAATGAAACTGCTCCAGCAAGTCCGCTAATGGAGACACTTTGACCATAATTGATTCTAGTTATAACCTTCACAATGCAGCATAATAATTGAGTACTTGTTACTTCTCAATAGACAAACCTATTTGGGATTTGACTTTTAGCCATCCCAGAACCTTAACTAAGTCAATTTTCCAAAGTGATCAGGAAATGCCCCCTTTTAATGGATTAAGCAAAAATAACTTGGCAATTAAGCAAATCTAATTTACAGGGTAAGATCGGTTTCCTAGGGTAACAAATATAATGGACCTCCCTCCAAATATATGCAACAGTTTGCATATGTCTTGTATCCGTCTTTAGGCAAATTTCAGACAAATACAATAAGAAACTTCAAAGGAAAAAAAATTGGAAAAAAAACTAAGATAGGTCGTTTTAATTAATTGATTATTGCGAAAGATTCATACACAATATGTGCTCATCAATTCTGCTAACAAAAGTTTTCCCATCTTTATTTATTTCTATCGCATTGAACCTACGGTGTACCAAATAATGCAACTCTAAATAACTGCATAAAGTAATCCCAACCACAGGAATCACCAGCTTAGCACACCAGACATAGATCTATACTCTACTAGCATTAATCTTAAAACAAGGCTCAGTGAGTGCCCGCCCCCTGCCCCCATTCTTTGTTGTCCATCAGGTCCGTGCTTTTGAGGATGGATAAGTTCAAGTTGCTATAAATTTACTTGGAGTTAATATTCTCCAGTAGCTGATAATTTAGTCATAGTTCTTTCTTTCTTTTTTGGTAGAGGACTTCTTGACTGCTGTTTATGTCACAAAGTTACACAGATAACAAGTTCCATAGCATCTAAACAAAGTTTCTTCCGCAACATCTGTCAAAATGCATTTGGCAAAAGGCAAGGATTATCACTCAAGGTAATAAGTATCAGTAAGTCAAAAACATTATTAGTTGGTCATCTAAGCAAAAATATCCCAGCTAACAACCTTCGTCTCCCTTCAATATACACCCTACATTGTACATCAGATTGCCTTTCACTACATTATAATGAGCGACTTTTAATGAATTTTGATGGCAAAATGAAGACCCTGATCATTTAGCAAGGAAGTTAACTGTGTTCTCAAAGGTTGTATCGGTTGAATCTACACTAGGAACCTTATGCTATTATTCACATTGCCATCGAAACATACACCCTTTCAATTTAAAAAAATAATCTTGTCACATGAAATAAAATGTAGAGAGAGAATGATATAAGAAGCTTATAATCCTTACAGTGACAAGCTCGTCTATCATTAAGGGAGATATCTTGATATGAACGAGTTCATCTTGCAAAGTTCGAGTTGTGAGATTGTACAAACCAGCCCATTTAAGCATCTCATCCACTGTTTCAAAGACAGGTCTCGTTTCAGGGCTTTCATAGTACTTCAAGAAGCTGTCCACAGTACTCTGCAGTGCACATCGTCATCACATTTTAGTCTCACATTAGTAACAGAGATCACTCCATAGAAAATATAATCAGGTCAGACTACCGGTTTCATTGCAATTTTACGATTACTCTCTATGTTGTTAATGCAAATATATTGCAAACTCAGAATCGATTAACAAATGGCAAAAAACGTGACACCAATTCCACCATAATTGATATGCTTCTTAGTAATAGAATCCTAGGACTGGGAGCAATGTATAATATCGTTTAGTTAAAAAGAGAAACGGAATCGAAGAGAAAACCTCGACGAAGCGAGGAGGCGGCGGTTGACCTTTCAACCAGAATCTTGATACTAAAGGATCTGAAAACAAAGCACCAGCCCAGGTTTCACCGCCAATGGATACAGTGGCCATGCGACCACCGACGACGGACCTACGCTCGAAGATGATGATGTTGGGAGGGTTGGGTTGGGAAGGAATGGGGTGGAAGTAGTGGCGAAGGAAGTGGGCGACAGAGGAACCGCCGATGCCGCTGCCCACGATGCAGACTGTAGGCGGAGGTGAGGCATCGGTTGTTAGGCAGAAGATGAGAGGCTGTATAGAAAGGAGGAGGAAGATAAGGAAACTAAAACTGGATTTGGGATCGAAAGCCATGAACTTTTGATTCTGGGTTTGTTTTGAACTGTTCCTTGTTGATGTTAAAGGACTCAACGGAGGAAATCTTAATCCATTTTTATTTTTAAAATGCAGATATATTCATTCATACAGACACTCCAAGCTGTAATCAACGGCCAACTATGAATATTTTATCATGCTTGACTAGGAAAGTGGAGCTTGGATTTGGAGCTTGGTTCTTTCACTTACTTTGAAATAGGGTGTAAACTAGTCGAGTTGAGTATTGTTGAGATTGATTCGAATTTGAAAATTTTAAACGTAGGTTCGATTCGATTCGAAAACTCGCGAGGTCAAAATTATGAAACTCAGCTCGAACCTGAAATATATTATTGAAACTCGACTCGAAAAAATTTCAGGAACTCGATTGAAGCTCAATTTTGAGCTCGATTCAAGCTCGATTTTGAGCTCGATTCAAACTCGAATTTGAATCTACAAAAATCTTATATTACATATCAAATATATAAATAATTTTCCCTTTAATCAACCATCACCTATGCTTTTTTTTTGCTGATAATATAAACTCATTTCAGAAACTTTACAAGATGCATACAAGAGTAATTTTGGACTTGTGGTTGTAGAACAGGTTCTAAACACATAAAATCAAACATGCGCCCACACCAAGCACCCATTTACAATCCTTCCCAAAACAAAACAACTTTTGTCATAAAAATAGTGTTTCAAAACTCAAAATACAAAGACAAATCTTTCATAGAAAACACGAAATCTAACAACAAAATATTACGATCTACTTGTTCATGTACCACAAAAACCAAATCCCTAGTGATGCTTTTCAATTTTTCCTGACATGGGATTTGGACCATTTGGGGCTTCGACTTTCATGCCTGCTTCATCAAGTAGTTGGTATCACCAATACATTATAATATGAATGTATGAATTATAAAAAATCTAAAAAAATACAATTACAAAATATGGGAGCTGCATGTCTAAATTCACACAAAAAAAAATAAAATGCCCAAGCTTCCATACATAACACCTATTAGAAAGAGTAAAAAACAATAAATAACAATAAATGATTCTATAAAAAAAACATGAAATCGTTACAAATATGGAGTAAAAAAAATACAAGATTAACAAATTCAAATATTAAACCTGTTAACTTGTCACATTATCGATTCTTTCGAAGGTACTGATATAATAATTTCTTTCGGTTGTTTGTCATCATTCTGCAATAATTTAAAAACTCAAATAAGTCTACATATATTTAAAAAGCAAACAAACTTTGTTATAAGAAAATACATTTACCTTATTCTTTCTTTTCACTCCATGAAGGGATCTACACCAATCACCTGCACACATCAACATTTGAATTGTTTCTGGAGTAAGGGAAGACATGAAAATTAAATCATAGCAGCTATAAATAGTCAATACCCAGATTTAATACACATTCAAAAACATTTTAGAGCTAAGTAACAGCATAGTTGAGTACTAAAAACATTCACACTTCCAACAAAATCCGAGAAATGAAAAGGAAAGCAAGATTTAAGATTAAAAAGAAGAAAAAACGAGTACAAGTATCTAAAACTAGACGGATCTTAATGAAAACGAAATGGAAAGGGGCAAACCTGAGGAACCGAGAAAGGTGGCACAATAGAAAGAAAATGAGACGAGGAAAGCAAACTTGAGGAACCCAAATTTAATACACATTCAAAAACATTTTAGAGCTAAGTAACAACATAGTTGAGTACTAAAAACATTCACACTTCCAAAAAAATTCGAGAAATGAAAAGGAAAGCAAGATTTAAGATTAGAAAGAAGAATAAACGAGTATAAATATCTAAAACCAGACGGATCTTAATGAAAACGAAATGGAAAAGGGCAAACCTGAGGAACCAAGAAAGGCGGCAACAATAGAAAGAAAAGGAGACGAGGAAAGCAAACCTGAGGAACCCAGATTTAATACACATTCAAAAACATTTTAGAGCTAAGTAACAACATAGTTGAGTACTAAAAACATTCACACTTCCAACAAAATCCGAGAAATGAAAAGGAAAGCAAGATTTAAGATTAAAAAGAAGAATAAACAAGTATAATTATCTAAAACCAGACAAATCTTAATGAAAACGAGAGGGAAAGGGGAAAACCTGAGGAACCGAGAAAGGCGGCATCAATAGAAAGTAAAGGAGACGAGGAATTCGAGGGCCGGGGAGGAAATGAGGAATTTATAGTCGAGGATGTCAACTAGGGTTTTGCTTAATTAACCTAAATTGTTTAATTAATAGTTCTATATTTCTATTAATTAACCAATTAAATAGAATGATTACATATTTTTTAACACCCCTATGTAGATATATCCCAACATCCAAACATTTCATCGTTCAATCAATTTCATTTAAATTTTCAAAAAAATTGGTAAACTAGTAATTTTGTATTTAATTTATTATTAATATAATTAATATATCACATTTTATTCGTTATGATCACTTCATTGTTAAGTATCTCATGCCATTATTAAAATGTTGCATTAAGCCTTTTTGTTTTTTTTTTTTAAAATTTTAATATTCTTTTTTCTATAATCGATATTATTTTTTAATATTGTTCAAACCCTAAATCCTATCACATAATTAGAAAGAATGAGATGGCTTAGTGAAAGGAGAGAGAGAGAGTAGACTTGTTTTTCTTTTGTTTTCTGAAGAACAAAAATCTAATAAGAAGCTTCAGTCTTTTTAATTTTTGCTCCTATTATCTTCTCAATCTTCTCATTATTTATTGCTTTGATTTTTCAACTCTGCAATTATTACTTTTTTTTAGAGTACAATCTAGTAATGCATATATATCTGTCTTGTTTTACTTTATATGATACAAGTTAGTAGTAGGGATGATCATTTTCTCTCAAATATGATTTGATGCCATTAATTTTGTTAATTAAGATATTAATGTAAGTCTAAATGAGTTTTTTCTTTCTTAATTCTTTATAAAATCATTTACACTATATTTTGATATATTTTTTAAATTATTAATATTTAAATTGAATCATATTTTTAAAATTTTATAGAATTTTTAATATATTTTTAAAATTTTATAATTATCAATATTGTATTTTTAATATTTTTTAATAATGTAATTTTAAAAAATCTAAAATTATAATATAATATTTTTTTCGAACTGCTCACGAGCTTTTCGAGTCGAATATCGAGTAGCTCGTTTCAACTCGTTAAGAACTCTAGTCGAGTTCATTCGATCCGAGTATTTATCGAGCCTTGATCGAGTCGATCTCGAGTAGCTCACGATCTGTCTCGTCTCATTTACAACCCTACTTTGAATCACCAATTAATATTTAGGGATAATGGAACTCCCAGCCTTGAACTTATAGCTTTTATCAATTTGGTCCCTGGACTTTTTATACATTTAGTCCACAAAACGAAAAAAATTGCATTAATGTATTGATGTGAATAAAATGGTTTAGGGATTTAGTTAACAAAAATAAATAAATAAAGGGATTAAAACTTAACTTATCCCTCTTTATATACGTTGAACCTACTCATAGATCCCGAAAGTAATACTAATTAATTTATTAAGCTTCTAGTAATACATTGACTTCTTCTATAAAATAATTTAAATTAATTTTTTTCAAATTTTAATGCTGCCATGTTCTTCCTTATCAAATTACAAAATTTGACTTTTTTATGAGTTCATAGAAAGCTATTTGAGTACAAAACTTCACGTATTATCATTACAAAGTATAAGTTTACAAGCAAAGACAGCTTTTGTACATGCTCTCACCACTTGTGTACACAATAATTTTCCATTGTTTCATAACCCTTGCATCTTCTTCTTGCAAGTTGCAGTACACATCGCAAATACAAACACTTAATATCAAACAAATGCAAAGAACTTTGCGAAGCAAAAACAGTCCAATGCTGAAACCTTTGAAGATGGGGAAAAAAGAATGCAAATAATTTGTTGACTATGAGATTTTGTAGGAGAGCCCTGTCCTGAAAATGCATCATCGGGAAATTCGCTCTCTCTATTAGGTATACAGTCTCAGGCGAGTCGTTATTGGTTGCCGGCACATCGGGCATGATGAGATTGTCACCCCACAATCCTTGCAAGTCTTGGAACAACACAAGATAAAATACAATAAGCTTTTTAATTATGAAAACATGATGAAGATGGAAGCTATTACTAAAGTATCTCTAAACATGTTCCCAATGCAGTCACTTAAGAATCTACACCAAACACTGGTTTTCGAAATAGTGATAGAAATCAGAACAAATTATATGATTTGATCAAAATGGACCTACCGTGTGACCACATCCAAAAGCCATGTCCTTTGGGTTTGTCAGGCAGATAGGGCAGACCTTGAAGAAGCAAATGCATATCTCAATATAAGTATAATAATTTGAATGGAGAGTTTGTGAAAAATAAAGGAAAAACTTAATTGGAAAAGAAGTAAAAGAAAACCCTATTACCGGTTCTGCAGCAGAACTTATTACGGGTTGTGCAGGGACTGTTGGCTGCACTTTTTCATAGTTTGTCATGTGTGGGATTGATCTAACCGCATTGTCATGATCGATCACTTCTCGTGGGGGCGGAAGTGGTCTTTCGTGTCCACATTCTAGTTCTCTACTGCATATTTTAACAGTTTTATGTTTACAATTATTCCAAACTGAAAGTAGGTATTAGCAGAAAGCTGGTGTTCTGGCCTTACTTATCAAAACGAATATTCAGGGTAGCTCTGTACTGATATCTAAACGCATTGTCATGATCGATCACTTCTCGTGGGGGCGGAAGTGGTCTTTCGTGTCCACATTCTGTTCTCTACTGCATATTTTAACAGTTTTATGTTTACAATTATTCCAAACTGAAAGTAGGTATTAGCAGAAAGCTGGTGTTCTGGCCTTACTTATCAAAACGAATATTCAGGGTAGCTCTGTACTGATACGGAATTTCCATGAGGGCAGCGAGAGCAAAGGCTGTTTCTTTCTTTGATGTTTGTGTGTTCTCAGTCATGATTTTTGTGAAGTTGACAAACTGCAAATAATTTGTGGCACAGAACATGTTAAAAGGTCGTACTTACTGTCACAGAATAAGTTGGAAAAGACTATCCTTTGTAAAGAGATCACCATATGTGAAAATTACATTGCAAGGATAGTGTCAATCCTATGATAATGACCAAGTATTGCCATAAAACAACAATAATGTTTAGATATACACTAGAAACTAAAAGACAAAGTAAACTTATATAACAGCAGAAAGGCTGCTCTTTGCATATTGATTCAAAGAATTTGCAGACATACCTGGAAGTTGTCAAAGGCACGATGTGGAATATTATCATCAAATTGTTGCATTGAATCCCATGGTCCATCCCCCACTCCAACCAAAATAATCGAGAGAGGATAATGACTGTTTATTGAATACCATGATCAATGCGATAAGAAAAAATAAATAAAATCTTAATCACTAAAAAACAGTTCTTTACCTAGCAGCAACAATGGAATCAACAGTTGCTTGTTCTTGTGGACTAAGCCTTCCATGCGGTACGTCGGGATTCCTTGTAACCTATACAATCAAATAAACATTTGATAAGACTGCTGCATAGAAGAAGTTAATGATTTAAAACTGAAAGCATAAAGCATGTTTTTTTATACCTGTCCATCTGCGATTATGACAAGAACATGGTACTGTCCATTACTGCTATCCACGATGCCAATTGCAGCATTAATAATTGGAGCAAATGAAGTTGGACCTAGTAACAAGGATAAGAAATTATCATATTCAAATCTCTGCAACCATTCCGAAGACTGTGATCAAGAGATTAGCTCAAACACTATCGAATATAAAACTCATACGCCATTCTGATCTTTTAACTCTGAACTGAAAATTGAAATGCAAGCATCAATGACAACTAGGGAAGCCCCTCAACCTAAGATTTGATCAATTGCCGGCTTAGAATTATAATCAAGTCATGATGTAAGAGAAAGGAAGTTATAAACACTCGTTTTGAAGATAATATATTTTTTAAAAATGGCTTTAGAAAATGTTTCTAAAATTTTAAACAGAAGCTTCTTACATTATCTGTTCTTGAAATGAATGAAAAAGCTACAACCAACGCATAGAATCAAGCTGTTTTCTCTTGCATTCCACAAAATTACTGTTTTAATCTAAAATCTCCAAATTATTTTTCCTTTTGTATTCAAAATCCTGGTAAAATAATCATAGCATGCAGAGTAACGATTCTTTTGTCAAATTTATACATTAATTATAAAACTCAAATGTGCAAAAATGCATGAATTGGTAAATTTATTCCAATTTTTGAAGTGGACTATTTCACCCATTTGTTTCAAATAAAATCAATAATTTTATTTTCTTTATCCTTCAATCAAAAGAAAATTTGGACACTTAAAATGTTGGGAACAAAATAACAACACACACAAAAAGGAGAACATGCCACATCTAAAATAATTGTTTCATACTAGTTACTATATATGAACACTAATATATTTCGAGCAAAAAAATTAGATGACAATCATGAAATTTAGAATAACAATTTCTCAGCCAAAGATAAGAATACTCTATGCCCGACAAAGTGATTAAATAAATTGAAGAGAATAGAAGGAAAGATCTTCAAAACCTGACAACTTTATGTGTGGAACAATCTCTTTATACCGTGCAAGAGCTTCCTCAAAAGCCTGACAAGGTCGGTGATCAGGATAGAAGCTGAACACGTATTTATCATGCGTTGACGCTACAAAAAAAGAAGCATAATAAGATACGAATGAATATCTCCCTATAGTAAAAAAGTATGAGCTTCTTCCGTACTAATTATTTATATAGCATAATAAGAACCACACATTAAGATAAAACGGGGCCAGCTTTTTTTTTGGGGGGGTGGGGGGTAGAGTACCTGACCACTCGTTGCTCTTTGTGAAGTCAATACCAAGTATTAAATTGGATGATTCAAGTCCTGCCTCTCTCAATGCTGAAATAACCTAATTACAGTGTAAATATTTGTTGTTACCAAATGTATTCCATTCAAAACTACATTTATTAAATAAAATAACAGCATACAACAACATGATAAGAACATGCAAACATAAAGTAACTCATGAAACTCGGAATCTAAAAGATGAGAAACAGAAGAGCATGCATTTTAATGACATTTTCTACGATACTTGGACCACAACAGTTGCTTGAACATTTTCTAATGGTATAATGACCTCCAATTTTTAATATATCTTTTGCTTATATTTAGTCATCAGTGCCATTTTTTAATCTGAAGTACTATAATCATTTTTCACGTGTATTACCCGGTACTTGTTTAACCACTATGAAGGTTATTCTATCACAAAGTATATCCCAATAATGCACCGTGATCACAATATTCTATCACAATTTTCATGCCAAGTTTAGGACATCTACCTTAGCCAGCAACTGTCATCCATCTTAACCACTTTCAGATAAATTATTTCAAGTCAAGACATGTTAGCCCAACCCACAATTACAATTTAAGTCAAAGATTTGTTTGAACTTCTTTCTGCTAAATCAAGGACCACGTTCACCAATAGCTGTAGAGATGTCAAATCCTTCTTTACTGCTTAACATGTGATCTTAGTTCTACCTCAATCCCTCCTCATCCCTCCATGTATTTCATTACTCCAGCTAATGTGTATCCTCGGCCTGCATTCAATATTTTAAAACCATTCAAGTCATTCTTTAAACTTATGATGAATGGTTTTGTATAATTCTTTTCATGATAACCAACCAATTCTGGAATTGATTATTTTCTGTTTCACCGGGCTTAAAACTCAATGTATCAGTTCAAATATCAAAACAGGTCATTTTTCGATCAGAGTAGCAATGCAACTGTAAAAGTATTGCTTTCAAACAAGCTAAACCAAACAAGACTTTGCAGTCAACAACTATAGTAAAAAAATGTAATTGCCATTCTATTATGGTATGGTTCATATTTTCATCTTATGAGTTGTACTATCAACAAATAATAGCTCCTGTTAGCCAAATTAAAATTCAAAGTTAATGTAACAGTAAAAACCTGATCCACCGAGCTGAAATTGTCAGGTATAGATGGGGCTTGCTGTCTGGGGTGATGGTTCCGATCGACTGAAGTTCCTGCTAGAGATGCAGGTGCATAAGAAGGTATAAACGAGGCTTGCTGTCTAGGTTGATGGTTTTGATCTGCTGGAGTTCCTGCTACAGATGAAGGTTCATAAGAAGGTTGCTGCCAAAAGTCAGAGTGAGAAGTATCATCATATCCTGATTCGGTATTTCCCATACCTGTGGAACTGGTACCTTTATGAAAACACAAACACACCTTCACATCAAATTGAGTTCACGAGAAATAAACAAATTGATACATGCATTGAAAATTCAACGGCACGAGGCAGAACACTTATAGTTTCTATGTCAAGCATTTTCTCCTTCAAAGCTAGATGAAACACATTTCTATTAGCATTTAATCAATGACTTTGCTTTCAACTAATCGCTTTTGCTTTATAGAAACCTCTTGTGGAAGTAAAAAGCCAATTCGATACTTGTAGGAGAAGCCTTTTCCTTTTCTTTTTCCTTTTTTTTATAAAAAAAACCTAAACTAAACAAATCAAAATCAAGTCAAGATGATATAGATGAGCCTTTTCTTCGCACCATAGATCATAAGATAACTAATGTTTGACAAATTCCACCGAAAGCAAGTACAAAAAAGGAAGAACTAGAACTAAAAATTTAACTCAGAAAAAAAAACCTAATAAGTCCAAAGCAATTTAACAGAGCCACATCCATTATCTATCTGAAGATAAATCCTATAATTTCCATTTTAAACCCAATAAGAAGCCGAGAAACTATAGAAACTAAATTAAATATTAGAATGTCAACAGCAATTCAAAGCTTAAATTGTAGTCCCAAAATTCCACTTTTTAACTTCTTCGATAAGACGATAATCATCTCCCAGCAACCAGCTAGAAATTTATGGGAAAAGAAATAGATTTCTCTCTGAGATTAAAACTACTTTATACTCAGTTTCTCGAATTTCTGTTTTCCTCTAACTTAGTTCCCATCAATGTGAATATATCAAAATCAGCTCAAATTCCATTCCTTCAACAAAAATAACAAAAATCATATCTACACCAAAGAAGAAACAGATCAAAGATAGCAATGTAATCCCATAAATGCAGAAAGTAAAAAAAGAAGAATAAGAAAAAGGAAGTTATTAACACGGAAAACAAAGGGAATTCTGCAGAGAAAGTTACCTTTCTGATTAATAGAAAGGAAAAACAAACAGTTCTGAAGGTTCAATTAGATTGAAGTCTTTTTGAATATAAAAATAAGATATTCATGGAAAACGACGCGTTTGTTGACGATTTTTATATATTTTTCATGGCTTCTCCTTTCTAGTTTCTTGTCCGGGCGGTTCACTTGTTTGGTTTAAGTTTCCACAGCAGACCTTCTAGGCTTACAGGTCAAGTTTCATTGTCTGCTGTCACAAGCCTGTCATTCCCGTTGGATTCGTTCTATTTGGCTCTCTTTTAGAATGCGTTGACTTTAAGGCTGCTACCCAGTAATGACCTGAACGTGGACGAGAGTACTTTAGACAGATTTGTATTTAAATTTATGTAGGTGGTTAATTAAATAATATATTGTTTTTTATTATTTTTCAATGAAGTGCATCGAGACGAAGATGGGCTAATTTTTTAGAAGGTATAATGACAAATTAACCTTTAATACTTGTTTAAATAATCATTTGATTTTTTTTGAAGTATAGTTACTTAATATTTTAATTTTTGATTAAAATAAATTTATTGAATAAAAATCGTTAATTAATTATCGACGAATATCGTGGTCAAGACATTTTTATATGTAAAAAGATAACTCATCTACGGGAATGGTGTGAAACCCTGCGATGAGAGAATTGTCTCTAATCATCGTGGAGCTTTTGGCACTGAGTTTAGAAGTTGATCGTGCCCACTATCGCCGACTTTTCTGAGGATGGTACTTCTATAATGAGGTGCAAATACTATTCTCATGCAAAAATTCCAAGCCCTCATTGTGGCCAGTGACGTATGAAGTAAGCCTCATAGGATTAAGTGTATCTTATTATTTTAGAAAATTGATTAAATTTAGTTTAATGTGTTAAGGAAAAAAATTATAATTTTTACATACTCATTATTTTAAAAAAAAAAAATTAAAATTCTAGACACCTTTCTTAAATTTCTGAATCCGCCACTAATTGCGACCCTAATTCCATTATGATACTTCACCAAGATTATGTCGGAGAGCCCGAAATCTTCTCCGGTAACAAATGGCTGGCGGTTCCACCTCAAAAAGATGCATTTGGCATCAACATTGGTGACACTTCCATGGTATTTGATGATATAATTCAATATCTGATATCTGAACTTCGAATGTGTTTGATGTTAGTGTTGTAGGCATTTTGTAACGGAAGATACAAAAGCTGCTGAAGAGGAGATCGTTGGTTTATCTTGTGATCCCCAACGAAGACACCGTGGTGAGATCACCGGAAGATATAGTTGTCGGATCGAGCAGGCTTTACCCAGATTTCAGCTGGTCCTATCAGCTGGACTTCACAAATAACCACCGACGAGCTGACCTTCGGACCCTTAAACTTCTTCCCATGTCTCCTCCATTCTCAACCTTAGTCCCTCTACTTAATTAACCTGAGACTCTGCTTCGTACTGTTGTGGTTGTCGTTTCCACTTCCTTTTGTCGTTGTTTTTTTTTTCGCTATTGTCTTTATTTTTTAAAATTCAGATCAAACTGATATAATAGGTAAACATTAAATATTAATTTGTTATTATATCAATCGAAATTAAATAAAACATTAAAACAGTAAGTAATTATCCCAACAAGATTAGCTTATAAAAGGAGCCCAAATAAAATTAAATTAAATGTCTAAGGTACAGTACACGGTTTACAAGATCAAGTAAATAAAAAAAATAACAGAAAGCCCCTATTTAAATATGATACAATCCAAGCCTCCTGCAAAGGCCTGGTGTATCAATCACCATGAATTGAAATTTGCAAACCTAAACAAAAAGAATACCTAATCGATACTTAAACGTGCTGCCAAACATCATTCGTTGAAGGGTACAATATGACCTAAGCAATGGCGTATTTGATTGCCTCCACCTCTTTAGGTCGCCACATGGATTTCTGGACACACAGCAGGCCTTCCTTGTCCTTGGAGTATGTCATGCGCACTTCCCACTGCATAGACTTCAACATATTCTCAAGCTCGTTAATTATATCAACGTTGTCTCGAACAATAAGCTTTCCTCCGGGTCTTAGTATCCGATCAACCTCTGCAACAACAGCCACTAAGTTGCACCTGCATGCCATAAGCCATTCCAAGGTCAGGCCGAAACAAACAATGGATATATCATATTATGGAAAATGTCTTTCAGAAGAATGCTTAGACCAGAAACAGGGATTCGATACTAATCCTTCCATTATACAGAAGGTCGATGGAATGTAGCATTGATGAATTGATTATTCAAAACGAAAAGAAAAATAAAAATCCGATAAAAACACACACAATCTAAAATTTTCTCAGGATTCACCAACAAAAATAGGTTAGTAAAAATCTATACAATTACCTAGTGAAGGCAAAATGTAATGAATGGAAGTAAGGAAAAGAAATATATCGTTACAAACCTCTTTTTAACCTTCGAGAATAGATGGTCTGCATGGAGAAGATCGTAAGACCTCGGATAGGTGCTAAACGATTCACACCAATCATGATACATGCCAAATAGACCTCTTTCAAATATTATGGGAAGTGTATCCGGTGAGTCAATTGGGACCACATTCATGACCCATAAATCCATATCTTTGAGTGCAGCAGCAAAGCTGTAAGCATACCACAGTCAGAATTAATGAAAAGAAAATGAATCGGTAGATCAGAAAGAATCAACTGTCAAACCAATATAATCCTTCCTACTTCATAAAAAAGTGCATATATATTTTTGCATACCCTCCATAAACAGCATTCATGTCCATGACATTTCTGACAGATGACCAGCTTATTCCCATCCCATTTATGTATGACTTGGTTACCACCCGTTTCCAGTGCTCATTGTCTGCAGTAAAATCCTCTGGTGCTGCTTTGCCGTAAACTCCAACTTGGGAAGAACTCAACCAATATGGTGATTTTTCCAACCTTGCTGGCCATTGCTCAGGCCAATGAGACCCACGTTCTGCTGAATCTACAGGAGCTTTGTGCATGCAAGCTTGCAGAGGCACATTCCTACAAACAATAATCAAATCAAATGGCTGTTTTGATACCAAAAAAATGAAAAATATTTGATAGCTTACTCAAAGAATGCAAGTTAGCATACTGAAAGCCAGTCGGTGGATATTTCTAGTGTCATCTTACAAACTTGTGTTAATTTGTTTTTAGCCCGAATATAGATTTTACATCCAAATCAGAAACAATACCATGCGGCATTTGGATCATCAGACTCAGGACAGAGTGGAGGCTCTAGTTTTGTCCTTTGCTCATAGCATTCATTAGAAGTAGGCTTTCTAAATGCTGCTACAGCCACACCATTTACTGCATCCTTGCTAGTTTTGTTTACAAGCTCCCAGCACATAGATTTTGTTAGTTCAACCACAGCTGCACAGAATCCACGCAGAAATTGAGCAGCTGTTCCAGACAATAGATTTCTCACACAAAATACAAAGTATGATGGTATATACCTTCCCAGATTTCAACATCTTCAGGAATGCTCTGATAAATAGGAGTAGCAGACCACACAAAGAAACCACCAGGTCGCAAGACACGGTTCAGCTCCAAGAGGAGTTTACCACCTGCATATTATTAAGACCAGTGAATATTCAAGCAACAAAAGTTCATAAAATAAACTCCAGCAATTGATTATATGACTACAGACAGCTTATAACTAAAGGAGATTGTAAATACCTTCTATGTGCCATGGCACTCTACATCGTGCACAATGAACAACATCAAATACTCTGCCAGGGTAGGGTAGTCTCTTGGTACCCATCACAGCAGACACAGCAGGAATTCCCCTTTCAAGTGCAAACTGTACTTGAGCTTCATGTTCGTCTTTAGGTGCGAAGGACATAGCAACAACATTTCTGTCAAAAGGAAAACCTCCAAAGCTAGCAACCCCACATCCAACATCCAATATTACACGAGTACGTTTTCCCCATGCTACATCAGGCACAGACTGCAGAAAAGGAAATAAAAGTTGAAGCACATATTCAAAGAACAAGTTGTGAGAGGGGACAATATTTTGACCATGAAGAAACTTATCCACTAATCAAAGTCGACCAATAACGGTAACAAACTAACAATGGAGCTGACAATAATAATTATGGTGCTTGGTAAATATCATTTTCAGCTGTAACTCAGATCAAAAGACACCGCATCTAAGTACATATCATGTGAGATATAAGTATTATCAATGTAATAATAGCCAACTATAATGTGAAGACAGTCCTCTGATTTAGGCACTCACCTCTTCTATGAAGTCAATATAATGAAGCGCACCATGCTTAAACTGGGTTCCACCACCAGGAAATGTGAGGTATTCTCCAGTAACTTTAACCCAATTCTGATGCCCCTTAATTTGTGCCAGTTTGGTATGGGGAACATTATAGTACCAAATCTGCAGCAGCAGGAAAGTATCTGTTAGTTCATCCTATCAAGCAGAGAATCAAAGTAAAAAAGTGGATCAGGACATGTTAAATTAAGGTACCTTCTCCCTGCTCTTTGGCCACTCAATTGGACGTTTATATCCTTCAGGAAGAGGGACAAGGCAGGTTGGTGGTTCTTCCGGACAGTGCCTCTCTCGATGTTCATAATGTTTGGTAGAATGGAGATGCCTGATTGCTTCCAAATTGTCAAGGCATGGGATATAATCAGGTCCGGCAGTGGAATTGCACACCTTCCAAATGTATTTCTTGGATGATAACTGAGATTCCTTTTCCGCTGTTGATTCTGTTGCTTGGGTAGAGAATGATCCAGTTTGAGTAGTGGTTTCATTCAAAAGTTCAGATTGAGCACCAGACGGGAAAACTTCATACGAGCTCTGGTTTTTCTCTTGACCACCATCTTTCCCCTCATCAGATCCTTTATCCAACACATTATTATCATTTTGATCAACCTTCTCTATCTGACCATCCGTCTGATCTCCATTAGTTTCGGAGGAGCTTTCATCTTGCTTCTTTTCACCATCATCAGAATCAGATTTATCATCATTCCCATCAGATTCAGATTTCTCATTGCTCTCTTCAGATTTCTTGTCATTCTCATCAGAATCAGGTTCATCCTTGCTCTCTTCAGAACCTGACTTCTTGTCATCAGAATTCTCTTTTGAATCCCCTTCTCCACCCAAGTTATCACCATTGTCACCGCTTTTCTCTGCATTATCAGAAGCTGACTGCTCATCATCCTTCTTAGACTCCTCCAATTTACTATCTTCAGTATTATCCTGATTTTCTTGTGTATTTAAGTTGCCCTTGCCATCATTTTCAGCCAGACTAACATTGGTGTCCCCTTTGGTGGCATCCTCAGGCAAATCCCCAGGGTTTTCTTCAAACTGCGAGGTGTTGCTGCTGTCATTGTTATCACTGGTTACTGGAGCAACCTTATCTTCGAGCTGAGTTTTCTTTTCCAGAGCGGGCTCGTCCCCAACAGAGACAGTTGAGGATGAAGTCAACATCCAAATCCCAACTAAACATAATCCCACGAAAATCACAACTGTGACAGAGGAACAATAACCCGAAGACTTCCTATTATTATTATTATTATTATTATTATTATCTACTCTACTATATTTTCCTAATGCCATTATCACTATTTCCTTGCTTTCCTAATCAATACTTCAAAAATTCAACACCTGAAATTTATATAAAAGAAGAATCAGAATTATATATCAACGGAAATATAATGATTCATTGAAAACTGACGCTATAATAAGATCTAAAAAAATAAAAATAAACTAATAAACAGTAATATGTAGAAACAACGCAACGAAGCATGTAACTAGATATTTTAAAATTACAGTCGGAAAAAGCCAGATCTAGTCCAAACAATGTCACGGAAAGTAATGAACGAAAGAAATAAGCCAAATCCAACTAGATCTGTAACAAACAAAGAAAGTTGAATTTACCAAAAACAAAACTGAAAGAGATCCGTAAGAGAAAAGCTTCAACTATTGTTAATGCTTCATTATTCCTGCATTAATCAAAGAATTCCAGCATATAGCTGTCTATAGCTGTCGTTGGAAATTAAGGGGGTCTAATACAAGAGACCTACAATTTGGAGTTTATATAAGGAGAACGAAGTATGAGACAAAATAGAGGAGATCGCGCTCAAGAGAGCAAGGAGCGAAAGTGACGGCCAAGTGTAAGCCGCAAGCGAAAATCCCGTATCAATGGGATAATAGTATATTATCGATAGAGGGATATTTTTGTAAATGTAATCTATTTATTTCAATATTCACTTAGCAAATGACAATTTTGCCATTCATTATTCTATAAATTGTATAACATTTATTGTTATTAGTATTATTATTGAAGTAGGATGTAGATATATTATGAAAAATTTTAAATTTATACATTTTTAGATTGTTAGATGAATGAATATAAATGACAAGGTTAATAATAAAAAATAATAAATTTTTATTAAAAAAATGGATTATCTTTAAAATTAAAAATTTAATTTCAAATTGTCATTTTTATTTATCTAATGATTTAGAAAACGTTTGAAATTTAAAAACTTTAAATTATGAAAATGGACCATATTTTATGGTTGTTTTTCAATGGGATTAGTCTATTGTAACTTTTGTACCCTCCTTATAATTTTATTATGTTTTCTTCGTTTAATAAAACTATTTATTATTATTTTAAAAAATATCTAGAATTATATGTAATTCTTAAATATTTCAATCATATATATTAGTGTAAGTAACTATGATAGTTTTTTAAATAATTCTTATCTAAGAGGAAGGGAATATAAATTTTACTCATAATGGATATTAAACCCATAATTTAAGAGAGAATATAGATGTCAACCGACAACTTTTAAGGCTTAAATATACAAAATGTGCCTAACATATGCTCGTTTTTTCAGTTTAGTGCTTAATGTTTATTTTATTTTAATTTGGTGCCTAACATTTCATTCTGTTATTCAAAATGGGTCAAGTTGTGACAAATTGTTAGTTTTCTCCGTTAACTGACACGTGTCACAATCTCATAATTTTTAATTAAAATATTATTATATTTATATAAAAAGCCTTTATTTCTTTTAACTTACAAAAAAATCTCAAAATCCCTAAATTCCTCAAACCCTAACACTAACCCCCTCGCCTTTTCTGGCCCGACCACTGTCGTCGACATAGTCCTTGTCATCATCCTAGTTATAAGTCATTGTAGTTGTCGTTGATTGACAATCGAAATCGATTAGGATTGCGATTTTTACACTAGGGTTCGCGGGGTATAAAACGTCAATTCGCCGTCAATCGACCATTGGCCAATCACGATTTCATAGGGGTTTTGGTCATCGGGGGAGGTGAGGTTGGGTGGAACTTCGTCGAAGGCAAAAGGCGACAGTCGACATGGGTTTGGGGGTTGAAAAGAAGGTTTTCAAAGTTGTGGGATTATTTCAAAATTTATGTGTTTTCTTTTTAAAATATATATAATTTTTTTATATAAAAATTTTAAAATTATCATATTGTGACATATGTCACTTAACAGATAAAACTAACGATCTGTCACGACTTGACCCATTTTGAGTAACTGAATGAAACATTAGGCACCATACTTGAACGAAATAAACGTTAAGCACTAAACTGAAAAAACGGATATAGATTGAACACCTTTTGTATATTTAAGTTGTTAACCATGCGCTCTAGAGATTATCGATCGCAACAATGATAGTTTGTACGCTATAATAATAATCGCACTAAATAAGTTAAGATTTAATAAGTATAAAAATTAATATTTTTGTTGTTCAACCATTAATTATATTAATTATAATTATGAATATTTGAAAGAAAATAGTTAAAATTATTATTTATAACAATTTATTTTAATAATAAATACAATTATGATTAATGTATTAATATTATGGGTAAAATATAGCAATGATCACTAAACTTTTCTAAAGCTTTTATTTAGGTCCCCCAACTTTTAAAACTTGTAATACAATCTTCCAACATTTAGTCTGTTTGCAATATGGTCCCCGACGTAACCGGTCGTTTGACGTCGTTACACTGCTGTTAGTATATTTGCAATATGGTCAATGAATTTTCCAGGCGCTTGCATTTATGTCCCCCAACTTTTAAAACTTGCAACACAGTCATCAATTTCATTCTAAACCCCAAATTCCTTTTCGATCTCAAATTTCCTTTTTCATTTCTCTCTTCTAATTTCCGGCGTAACTTTTCAGTCGGGGATGCATGGGAAATTCTAATCTAACTTTGAATTATGTGGACGTGTTAACTTGAATAAAGGTCCATCGAAAGAATACCCGACCAAGGGACTATCGGGACCATCAACGATTCAAGGAGTAATGTTAGATACAAGTCATCTCAGGTGAATCATAGATGTTCGATGAAATGTTTGTGAGAAAAAATGGGGTTAGAAATGCAGAGTTGACAAATATTACTAATATGAACTAAGTATCATTGTTGAAAGTCACCCACAAAGCTTGAATTATTTTGTATAAATGTCATATAATAATTTATTCGTTTAATCCATGTGGTTAAAGATTTTACAACAGATGATCAAATATAATGAAATATCAAACAATGCATTCACCTCTCAGTCTCTTTCGTTCACATGAGCTCTCGCTTGGTTTTTCTTCTTCAATTTACTGACATGTAAAATTATAAACCCAAACAATGCTCTGTCTTTCAGCTTTTTATTTACAAAGAAAAAATGGATGAAGAAATGTTGGAATGCAACATCGATTGTGTTTATTTCTTAGCCTCTACACTCACTTGCAAGAAGGTATTTATTTTTCTCTTTTGGGTTATTCGGAAGTAAACTTTTTTTCTTTCTCACTTTCCCATTTTCAGCTCGCATTGTGTGTTTTTTGTTGAAATCTTTATATTTATGGAACTACATGTCAAGGATCTGGATATTCAGTGTTAGTTTTGAACCAAAACCATCTAATTTTCTTTCTTTCTTCTTAATCAAAACTTTTAGTACTCCTTAGGAAATATATTCAGTCTATCAGAATAGAAGTGAAAGAGGGTCCTAGGTTAATTTTTTTTTATCTTCTTATTTGGTTTTTCTTTAAATAAGTGAATTGGTTGAGAGTATCGACATAGTGAAATCGCCAGGTTTAATCCGAGAGACTGCTGGTACTAGTTACTGGAATTGTATTGATCCGACCTGTGGTTTTTGGTGTCTTGTGAGCTCGTATTCCTTTTAATAAGTTCATATTGATTATAAGACTGATATATCGTGAATGAATTGGATTTTTTTACATGTTTTGGAAATTTTACAGTTGAATCTATATTAAATTATAGCTTTAGAAGATAATTCTGCATGCATTCAACTCGAAATGCATCATGACAAAGTAGTATATTTGGAGCATCTACTTGATATGTTGTCCGTTCATTGCACATTTGCACCTTCATTTATGCCATATATATGTTTGTTGTAGTGTCTTATATGTTTTACAATATCTTTTATTGTTGACATGCCATGAATTTACAAGAATTATGGTGTCTTATGATTTTAGTTCTATAATTTGCTTTAGATTCTCATCATTTTTTACTATGGAGAAACATTAAACACGGAGCATTAGAAGCAATTATTTGTTAAAAGGGTAGGCCATTAATGCATTTGCAATTGGTAATGTTGTATTTGGCATCTAATGTCTATATTAAATAACCCATTTGACACCTTAGCTTTTGGAGTGACTATGACCGAACCTCTTTCCCTTTTTTATTAAGTCCTCATTTTTAATGAGTTATTAATTGATATTCTTGGTTTATTTTAATTTTAGTTATTGATTGGTTGTATGTTGTAGTCATATGAACTAAAACTCTTTACTATTTTCGTAGCCGTTGGATGTGTATGCTCAAGTTCCATCCAAACCTATTGAATTGTCATACCAAAGTGCGACAGTTACGAACAAGACAAATTGACCTTGTTACTTTTACTTCAACGGTTTATGCAATAAACGTGATAGGTGCATTTTTCATGTCCAAAGTGTGGTAACCGTTGAATGTACATATAACAAACCTAAAATTTATATTGAAGTAAACACTGTCAAATAGCAAATTCATGTTCAAAATTCCAAAGCACTTTAATTACATTCTAAACCCTAAATTTCAAAATACTTTAATTATATTCTAAACCTTAAATTGAAGTATTTTAGAATTTAGAGTTTAAAATATAATTAAATTATTTTGGAATTTAGGGTTTTGAACACCGTGTTACAAGTTTTAAAAGTTGGGGGACCTAAATGCAAGCTCCTGAAAAGTTTAATGACTATATTACAAACGTACTAACGACAGTGTAACGACGTCAAATGGTTGGTTACGTCGGGGACTATATTACAAACGGACTAAACGTTGGATGTAACACCCCCAACCCGTATCCGACCCATATACAAGTCGAGGTGTCACATTGACTTTTCAAAACATGTACTTTTACAAAAGAATGAAAAGAATTTCAAATTCACCTTTAAATCAAAACTAAATAATTTACATTAAATAAAAACAATTGGTTTTACAAAACATCTCACAACACAATCAACTCAAATCTTTTATTACATTTCAACTATATTCAATATAACAAAATATATATAGTTTAAAATCTTTTCTGATATGATCTTTTGGAAATGAGAAGTTGACCTGTCTTGCCTATCTTTGCTTTGCTCCTTTTGCTTCTCTGAACCTACGTGTGAAACACTCACACGCTAAGTCGATGACTTAGTAAGACATAAGTAAAATATAACATCTCATTACTAACTCCTACCATGCACACTTCATATAATCATATTAAACTATAAAACACATTATGCATCAAAACATAAATACATACATATACACATAATCTCATTATCCTTATTATTATTCTTATCATTATTAGCATTAATATAATTCATATCTCTTAGTCATTTGCTATTGTACCTAACATTCTTAACCAGATAATACACACATCATCATATAATTTTTGTAACACCTTTAATATCACAAAAACATATACATCACATATAGTGTATTTGTTGTTATCTCTTTATTAGCTCATGTACACATGTGAGAACTAAAGATATGTGAGTACATAA